AATTATCACTATTTGCGGATGATATGATACTATATTTAACAGACCCAATAGGGTCTACAAAGAAACTACTAGAGCTAATAAATGAATTCAGCAAGGTGGCAAGATATAAAATCAACACGCATAAATCAAAGGCATTCCTGTATATCAGCGACAAATCTTCTGAAATGGAAATGAGGACAACCACCCCATTCACAATATCCTCAAAAAAAATAAAATACTTGGGAATCAACCTAACAAAAGAGGTAAAAGATTTATACAATGATAACTACAGAACCCTAAAGAGAGAAATAGAAGAAGACCTTAGAAGATGGAAAAATATACCCTGTTCATGGATAGGAAGAACTAACATAATCAAAATGGCAATATTACCCAAAGTTCTCTATAGGCTTAATGAAATGCCAATCAAAATCCCAACAGCATTTCTTGTAGAAATAGATAAAGCAATCATGAAATTCATATGGAAAAACAAAAGACCCAGAATAGCAAAAGCAATTCTAAGCAGGAAGTGTGAATCAGGCGGTATAGTGATACCAGATTTCAAATTATACTACAGAGCAATAGTAACAAAAACAGCATGGTACTGGTACCAAAACAGGTGGGTGGATCAATGGTACAGAATAGAAGACACAGAGACTAATCCACAAATTTACAACTATCTTATATTTGATAAAGGGGCTAAAAGCATGCAATGGAGGAAGGATAGCATCTTCAACAAATGGTGCTGGGAAAACTGGAAATCCATATGCGACAAAATGAAACTGAATCCCTTTCTCTTGCCATGCACAAAAGTTAACTCAAAATGGATCAAAGAGCTTGATATCAAATCAGAGACTCTGCACCTGATAGAAGAAAAAGTTGGCTCCAATCTACATACTGTGGGGTCAGGCTCCAAATTCCTCAATAGGACGCCATAGCACAAGAGTTAATAACTAGAATCAACAAATGGGACTTACTCAAACTAAAAAGTTTTTTTTTTTCTCAGCAAGAGAAACAATAAGAGAGGATAATAGGGAGCCTACATCCTGGGAACAAATTTTTACTCCTCACACTTCAGATAGAGCCCTAATATCCAGAGTATACAAAGAACTCAAAAAATTAAACAATAAGATAACAAATAACCCAATCAACAAATGGGCCAAAGACCTGAACAGACACTTCTCAGAGGAGGACATACAATCAATCAACAAATATATGAAAAAATGCTCACCATCTCTAGCAGTCAGAGAAATGCAAATCAAAACCACCCTAAGATACCATCTCACTCCAGTAAGATTGGAAGCCATTATGAAGTCAAACAACAACAAGTGCTGGCGAGGATGTGGGGAAAAGGTACACTTGTACATTGCTGGTGGGACTGCAAATTGGTGCAGCCAATTTGGAAAGCTATATGGAGATTCCTTGGAAAACTGGGAATGGAGCCACCATTTGACCCAGCTATTCCCCTTCTTGGTCTATTCGCTAAAGACCTAAAAAGAGCATGCTACAGGGACACTGCTACATCGATGTTCATAGCAGCACAATTCACAATAGCTAGACTGTGGAACCAACCCAGATGCCCTTCAATAGATGAATGGATAAAAAAAAATGTGGCATTTATACACAATGGAGTATTACTCAGCACTAAAAAATGACAAAATCATGGCATTTGCAGGGAAATGGATGGCATGAGAGCAGATTATGCTAAGTGAAGCTAGCCAATCCCTAAAAAACAAATGCCAAATGTCTTCTTTGATATAATTGGAGCAACTAAGAACAGAGCAGGGAGGAAGAGCATGAGGAAAAGATTAACATTAAACAGAGACATGAGGTGGGAGGGAAAGGGAGAGAGAAGGGAAATTTCATGGAAATGGAAGGAGACCCTCATTGCTATACAAAATTATATATAAGAGGTTGTGAGGGGAAAGGGAAAAAAAACAAGGGAGAGAATTAAATTACAGCAGATGGGGTAGAGAGAGAAGATGGGAGGGGAGCGGAGAGGGATAGTAGAGGATAGGAAAGGTAGCAGAATACAACAGTTACTAATATGGCATTATGTAAAAATGTGGATGTGTAACTGATGTGATTCTACAATCTGTATTTGGGGTAAAAATGGGAGTTCATAACCCACTTGAATCTAATGTATGAAATATGATATGTCAAGAGCTTTGTAATGTTTTGAACAACCAATAAAAAAATAAAAAAATAAAAAGGTTTAATTTGAACAAATAAAGTCATCAGTTACTATATAAATAAATAAATAAATAAATGTCTCCAACTACAACTAAAAAATAAATATTTAAAAAATATGGAAAAAAATTCAACTCAACCAGAAAATTAAGTACTACAAAACAACAAAATACCAACTTTAGTTTGGTTGGCAAAAATTAGAAATGAATAATGTGCACCACATCTGTGCCCGTGAAAACATGAATCCTGTTAAGAGAGAACTTGCACTATAAATCATAAGTTCTAAAAATGTCCAACAATTGTACCTGTAGGAATTTCACATCGAATTTAGGAGGGGAAAAATAGGCATATATTTTAAAATATGTGTGTAAGCATTTTCCACATAGCATTATTTATAAGAATGAAAAATTTTTTAAATGTAATTTTTCATCAATAAATAAATGATAAAATAATCTATGGTTAATTCATGCAATTGAATACTATGCTGCCATTTTACATGATAATCTAAAATATTATAAAAGTTTTCAAGACAGTTGGTCAAATGAAAATGTTGATTACAAAATAATATATAGTAAGGTACATATATTTTCACTTTTGTCTGTTTTTTAATTGATACATAATTCTCCATTTTATAGGGCACAATGTAATGATTCAATACATGTATTCATTATGTAATGAGCAAATTCAGGGTAACTAGCATCTCTATCACCTCATAAATTTATTATTTCTTCATTGTGAGGATGTATAAAACCCTCTTTTGATTGTTTTGGAATCTTCAATACTGCCATGCAATTAGGACATTAGCAGTTGGTATCTTATCTACTTGTAAATTGGTACCCATTGACCATCCTCTCTGCCCATTCTCTCCTCTCTTTCCCTCTTCCTAATCCCTAGTAACCTCTACTCAATCCTCTACTTTTATGCACTCAATTTTTTTGGATTCCATGTCTGAGTGTGAACATCAGCATTTCTCTGTGCTTTGGTATGACTGAAGAGTATTCCACTGTGTATATATGCCACATTTATTATTCATTCATCCATTGTTGAACATTCAGGTTAATTCTAAATCTTGGACATTTTGAATAGTGCTGCAGTAAACTTCAATAAACTGAGTTAACATCTCTTGGCTATTTGTCCAGTAGTGGATTTCTGGATCATTTTTATTTATGTAAATAGAAAAAATATGGATAACATCACAAAAATGTTAATAGAATTTGTCTCTTGATTTTGTTTTCATTTTCTGATGGCTTATCTGGAAAGTCCACAGGTTCAACCATGAGTTATTTATTACATTGGTAATAGGGGAAATTAAATAAAGGGTTATGAATATATGTGCCATTTAAACTCAGATTGATGAAGCAAGACATTTATAAGTTACACTGTAGAGAATAATGGTCCCAACTGATTTATTTCTCCAATTACTATTTAAATTTTCCCCATCAAATCTACGCTTATAAGATTGAGAATTATTCCCAGCTTGTGTTCTCATTATTTTCTTCATATTATAACAGACATTGGAATGGGGAATAAACATGAAAACAATGAAAAAAATGTATCCATTTATGGTAGAGAGTTGCCATGAATTTAAGATAGTCATAAATTCTTTGGCATACTTCCCACCAAAAGGCAGAGCTGTTTGACTTCTCCAATCTGTAGTACAGAGGATTTCCTTAGCTTACCAGAGAAGATGACTATATTTGATCAGTGTGAACAACTGAATCCAAAAAACCCCAAACTTCCATATTATTCTCTGAGCCTAGTGTGCCACTTTTTATTCTGTTGAAATAGTAAATGTCTACACAGATCACTATGTGTTAAGCTATAAAATGGAAATAATAATATCTAGGTTCCAAGTTCCTCAGGATTATAGTGAGGTTCAAATGAGATGATGTGGGTGGAAACTCCTTCTAAACTTTAAAATGTTCTGTACTTGCACGATGCTGTCATTATCATTATTATTAAGGAATTAGTAAATTATATATACTGTTGGAACATGTGAGTTTAGCATTGTCTGATCTTAGGTTATTCATTTAACATCTCAGCAATTTTCTCACCCCTAAAATAAGAGTGTTTACTAAATAATATCTAAAGTTCTTTCCAGTTCTTAAATAATATGACTGCGGTTTTTGAGAAGCGGTATTGCATGTTCTTACCACCCTGTGGTGCAGGGTGTTCAAAGATAAATGTGACTCCACTTGTGCTGCGTAGGAATTTACAATGTAGTTTTTAAGATAACTTGTACTTTTCCACATTTTTATTGGTGCATTATAGTCATATATATTGATGGAATTTGTTACACATTTGTATATGCATACAACGTAACAATATAATTTGGCCAATGTTATTCCTCAGTATTTCCCTTTTCCCTTCCCACCTCCCTCCCCTTTCTTCCTTCCCATCCTAAATTTCTTTTCCTTTTTCCTCTCTCGTTTCCACATATGAGAGAACATACAACCATTGATCTTCTGAGTCTGACTTTTTTTTTTTTGCTCAACATAATGTTCTCAAGTTCCATCCATTTTCCTACAAATGGCATATTTCCATTTCTTCTTTGTGGCTGGATAAAACTCCATTGTATATATGCACCATTTTTTCTTTATCCATTAGTACATTGATAGACACCTAGACTGGTTCCATAGTTTGCGTATCGTGAATTGTGCTGCTATAGACATGTGTATGCATGTATGTGGTATGATAACTTTAATTCTTTAGAATAATCTATTTTTAAAGACAAATAATTCAATATTTTAAATGTAGATTCCCTGGGACCCATGGATTCCTTAGAGGAAATTTTCTAGATACTAAAGCTGAGCATCTTCTGTTTGTTCCTTCAGATCCCTCTGCACTGCTCCCTGCCCTGGCAGCCTGGCCTGTATGAACGGTATCAATGATCTCTTTGCCTCATGGTATCTGACTGGCTTCTTCCAGTTGAGAGACCTAACAAGAGACAGAGGAAGACAGAAGAAACAAAATATTACTCACCCAGTTGCCTCTCCATAGGTTCACCTTGGGACGTCAAATATACAGTGTTGTTCAAGTTTGTACATGACTCTCTCCTTCTAGTTCTGGAAAAAGCTCTCTCCCTTTTCCCCTTTTGCCCTAGAGATGAAAATGGCTCAGCTGTAACTAATCCTAGAACACTTTACAGTTCCGTTGGTGGTAGGCAGTGATGAATAGAATGTTTGCGTTTTCTCCACCCACACCCCCAGCATACACCCCAAATTAATGTACCTGAATCCTAACACCAACATGATGAGATCAGGAACCTTTCCCCCAATCTCCAAAACTGTAAGAAATAAATGTTGTCCAAGTCACCCAGTCTATGGTATTGTTAAAACATCTGCCTTGGCTACTCTCCCTTGGATCACCTGAACTGGAGGACATGAGCTGCCATGATCTAGAACGTGCTGTAAAAAAGCCCTCATGGCATGGGATCAAGGTCTACCCCAAAACATGGGAGTAATCCTGGAAGCAATTCTTCCATCCCCAGGTCAGATCTTCCCAGGAGACCACAGCTTTGCTGGTACCTTGACTACAGTCTCATGAAAGTCCTTCAATCAGAGCTACCTAGCTCAGCTCTGCCTGAATTTCTGAACCCTCTTCCATATATATATATATGAGGTAGTAAATGTTTTAAGCTATAAGGCTTTAGGTGAATTTGTTATGCATCCATATATAACTAATATACCTGGTGATTTTCCTCACATAATGGCTGTGTGTTTGTAAATAACCCTGCTGTTTTCTTCTTCAAATTATAATAATTTGATTATGCCAACTTTTCCCTGCTAAGATCATAAATAAAATATTTTCAGACATGTAGGAGAAATGAAATACTCTCCTCAGGTTTGTTTCCCCAAAGCATAAAAAATAGATCACAGCTGAATATAGACATTTCCCTCAATCTTTGAGGACTCAAATTCCCTTGAAAGATTTCAGATTTATTTATTAGGGTGGTAACTGGGGAGATTTGTGTCTTTAAGGATTTAAATGAAAGAACAGTAGAATGAATTCGACCTACTTTTCCTATGTACATATATAAATATACCACAGTGAATTTCACCATCATGTATATCCACAAGACACTAATTAAAAAAAAAAACTAAGTAAATAGCAGAAAGATCAGTAGAAAAGAGATCGGGGAAGGTAGGAGGGGAGGGAAAGTGGAAGTATGGGGGACTGAATTAGAACAAATTATATTCCATGCTTTTATAGTTTTGTCAACATGAATCCTAACATAATGTGTAACTAAAAAGAACCAATAAAAATTAGTGACTTCTTAACTTTAAAATGAGAAATGGAGGTTACAGTTTCTTCTCCAAGAATATCTGGAAGCACTTCAGCACGGCACATGCAGGGTGACAGACTTTAGATTAAAATGGCCATGGGGTGGGTGGGTGTGATACTGTGACACATGTGTTTGTTCTTCATGTTTCCTGGCATGAAACTCCTAAAATCCTTGGAATTCTCAAATCAATAAATGTCTTTTTATGTGCTAATGAGTCGACTGGTGGCTGGGGACCTCTAGGTAGCTTTCCTCTGGGACTGGTCACCAGAGAGACCAAAGCAGGATTAGAGGAGTGGCCTTTGAACCACCCATCCCAACCTCTAGGGAGCAAAAGGGGCTAAAGTGAAGTTGTCCACCAACAACCAATGGTCTAACCAATCATCTCTAAAAACCCAAAGCACAGTATTCAAAGAGCTTCTGGACAGCTGACCACATGGAGCTTGCTGGAGGGTGATGTGCTCTGAAAGGACAGGAAAGACCCTCCCACATACCTCACCTTACCCACCTCTTCTTCTGGATCCTCTGTAATAACCTTTTATGAGAAATCAGTGAACATCGTTGTTTTCCTGAGTTCTTTCCAGCAAATTAATGGAATCTAAAGCAGGTATTGTAGAAACCCCAACTGTTCACCAGTCAGGCAGAGTACAAGTGAAACAACCGGGGGCTATCTATCACTGGCATTGGAAGTCTTGGGGACTGAGCCATCAAGTGGTGGGATCTGAAGCTCTCTCCAGGCACACAGTGTCAGAACCAAATTCCATTGGAGGACACCCAGCTGGTGTAGCATTGGTTGTTTGGTGTGTGTGTGTGTGTGTGTGTGTGTGTGTGTGAGAGAGAGAGAGAGAGAGAGAGAGAGAGAGAGAGAGAGAGACAGAGAGAGAGAGAGAGAGAGAGAAACCCCACGTATCTGCTATCAGAAGTATGTTGTGAGAGTTTGGTGGGACAAACTGAGTTCAAGGGCTTTTGGGGTTTTTGTTTGTTTTATAGTGGGTTCAGGGATCCTTCAAGGTCCTAGGTAAGGGAAAGAGAATCTATTTTGTGGAAACTTCCATTCTTTATGTGACCTCACAAGACTTGGTAGCCAACAAGTCACTAGAGCTGGAGCTATGGGACATCAGAGATAGACCAGGGCATTATATGATAGAAAGAGCAACAACAAATGGGGACCCTTACTTCTTGGTTGTATAAATCAGACTACTTACCCTTCCTTTGGTCCCCAATCCCCGCACAGATGCCTTAGACTGCAAATGGATTTTTTTTTTGACAATCCAGGGAAAGGAGTGGGAAAATCCAGTCAATACTTAAAAGTGACATTTTAAACGTATGATTCATGTATAAAGTTCAATAGCATAAAGAACCTCCCAGGTATCTTTCCCTCACTAGGATAGGGCCCTAAATGTATGAGGAACCCAGCATCCTTACTCCTGGATGACCTCACAGGGTGACAACATCTACTATGACAGCAGATCACAGCAGTCCAAGACTAGGTGGGCAGAAATGGAGTCATCTAGTGAATACCTTGCAAGTCCTTGCCAAACAAATGAATAAATGGAGGAGTCAACTGTCATAAAACCACCACGTGAAATGTATGTGAGTATGTGAGAGTGTGTGTCATAGGCTCAGTAGCTCTTACAGCTACTAAAATATGTTCTCTCCTGCAGGTATTGATATATGCCAATATTAATCATAATTCAGTGGCTTGGGAGAGAATGTGACTGAAGTAAGGCTCTGCAGACAAACTGTTCAGTGGTCTCAGCCCAACACTTCTGTGTATGTGTGTTTGACAAAGACTCCCTGGGCAGTGGGATTGGAATATAGCACAGTCTCCCTCTTGCTGGACAGCGTCCACAGATCATGTGTACTCCTTGCTTCTCCCTTTTCTATACTCCATGGTCTACTCATCATCTTACTAAGTAAAAATATATTTTAGAGATATTCAGGTCCTCCACTTGTTATCCACACTTTTGAAATCCTCCAAAACTCTGAAAATAAAACCTTTGGTAAATTGAGGTCATATCCCACCTGAAACAATGTAAACTATTCTTAATCTAGTCATAATCTTAGTGTGGGAATCATGCTTTCATTTCGCTAATGAGGATATTTGCACAGCACATTAGGCTGCGGGTATTCTACAGTATCCTCCATAGGGTATTGCAACTGTATTATGAAAAAGCTCTGAATTCTAAAGTGAATCTGGCCCTTGGGGTTTCAGATTTGTTACAACTCAATTTTTCGAGCTGGAAAAATCATTTTCTGTGGGACAACTTTGGACTTCTCTACCTTGATCCTTTATGTCTTATTATTTACTCTTAACTGTCTAGGAGATCATTATTCTTCCCTTGCTTGTAAGGTTAGGGGCTGTCTCACCATAATCCCTATAAAGTGACAGAGATGGTGAATAGATCTGAGTAAAGGGGAAGTGGGATCCTAGGAGGGAGGAGTAGGAAGTAGAGGAGCAAACTCTCCATGGAGTATCTGAGCTTCAGGATAAAGAAAGTTCCTTCTTTCTGGCTCCTGGTGACAACAGACAAAGATAATTGCATGAAGCAGGCATAGTGCTTGGGCAACTGAAGCAGCTGGTGAGGAGGGATGGGCACTGTAAGAAAGCTGATCCCAGAAGAGTAAAGAGAAGCGATTTAGCAGAAAGATTTAATATTTTAGAATGCCAAGAAGTCTACTGGGCCAAGAGAGATAGTTGGAAGTGGTGAGCTAGAGGTGGGGGCCCTGGAAAGGCTTTTACATAGGTTCAGGAGAAAGTCTCTAAATGAAAGACTGGAGGGTGAAGAATGGAAGGAAAAAGTCAAAAAGTTCAGAACAGAATCAAAAGGAGGCTGGCTCTGAAGGGATGGGGAGGGGGATAATGTAAGTAGCTGGATGCTTAGTTCCCTAAGCAGATCAGGTTTGAACAGTTTTATTTTTAAAGCTGAAAAGTCTATTTGTCCCAATGTTTAGAAAGCCACTAGACTTTGGTGGTTGGTCTTATGAATCAGTGCATGATCGGCTGCCTTCATTTCCTTGCTATATACTCAATCAAAACAGGTTTCCTTTTAAAACCTTGGTTGCTTTCTCTGAAGAACAGGGGCAATATCACAAACATGGCAGAAATTGTGGTGTTCAGTAAGTGAAAATTTCTGCCATGTGACAAAAGGTGAAAATGAATGTAAATTACATCTGAATTAAGGTTATTGGGCTCAGAGAGGTTAAGTGTCTCCCCAAGGTTACAAAGCAGTGAAAGAAATGGAATTCTGATGTAGGAGTTCCCCCCTCTCCAATATATCCCTGGAAAGATGAGAGCATGCAGATTTCCCTGGTACTAGAAAGCAAGGGACAGAATAATTGGGAATGCCTGTCCACACCATTCTGTTGTCCCTTCTATTAATAGAAGATCAATGCTTGGTCTCATATTCAACACCACAATTAAAAGTCTAATTGACAAGATAAACAGATAAGCTTCTCTGGAGGGTGTTTTTCTGATTTGCATAGGTAAACATTAGGAGGCAATTGTTTGATTCAGAAGCGATTGCCCCTCCAACTTGTGGAAGACTGTGCATAAGATTTGTTTATTCTTAATTTGGCCAGAAAATCCTACTTTATGTTTCTAATTGGTACCAGCTGTTGCATCTGCCTTCTCAGATTCATGATTCCGAAACAGCAAGAACACTTCCTGTTGCTGCCAGAGTGAAAAAAAAAAAAAAGGCTGATACTGAGTCACGGCAAGTGACCTCACATTGAAACTTACAAGTGTGCTCTGATAGGTCAACTGTGTATTTGACAAGCTGGTGTTCACTTTTTATAACCATAGGAAAAAGCATCCAATGTTCTAAATGTTGGATAGACCATATGTGGGCAGGAGGGTGGTTATAATTCTTTGGCTACTTAGTATCTTTTTTTTTTTTTTTGGTACTAGGGATTGAAGTCATGGGCCCTGGAACAATGAGCCACATCTCCAGCCCCTATTTTATATTTTATTTAGAGACAGGGTCTCACTGAGTTGCTTAGTGCCTCACCATTTCTGAGGCTGGCTTTGAACTCACGATCCTCCTGCCTCAACCTCCTGAGCTGCTGGGATTACAGGTGTGTGCCACAGCACCCAGTGCTACATAGTATCTTTACGACATTCTGAAGATTGCTAAACTTTTATGAATATAGGGGGTTTTAACCTTTAAAATGGAAAATATGTTCCTGTAAAGAGGTTTGCAAAGTGCCTGGAACATGGCAGATACTCAATGTGACATTTCTTCCCTCACACAGAGATACTTTCAGTTGCAAGAGCTGCAAAACTTTTTCACTCAGTTACAGTTGTCTTTCCATTGCCTCTCTGGATCTTCTTCCTATCTGACTTCATCAAGGTTCCTTCTCTCTAGAGTAGGGCTTGACCAGGCTTGCTCCCACATAATATTCTTTGTATCTCCCTCCCTCCCCACCCTTCTCTCTCTCTCTCTCTCTCTCTCTCTCTCTCTCTCTCTCTCCCCCCCCCCCGCCCGTTGCTAACAGTGACCTGAGAATAAGCTATGTATTCCCCCCAAATCATGAAATATCAAGGTGTTTACAGAAGGCTATCTCACACACACTAGTAGTAAGACAGGCTAGAGAGAGTTATTATTTCTAAACATTGTCCTTGCTGATCTTTATGATTTATATGGTAGATGGACAAAAACATCCAGGAGTCTTGAATGGAGGTTAACACACTATCCCACTTTGTTAACAACATATGTAACAAAGTACACTGCATTTATTATTTGTATTTTGAGACAGGGTCTCACTGAGTTGCTTCAACTACTTTGAAATTAGTTCCTATAGGGATGAGAAAGTAGTTCCTATAGGGCTGAGAGTGTGACCCAGTGGTAGAGTACTTGATTAGCATGCATAAGACCCTGGATCCCTGTATTTGATTCCCAGCACACACGCACGCGCGCACACGCGCGCGCGCGCACACACACACACACACACACATACAAATACTCTGAAAAGTCACTAGTGCCAATGAGCCTGTGCCAAGGCTGTCATTATCATTAGAGTGCTACTCTGAAAATGCTGTAGTAGTCAATCTCTGAAATTCCCTCTCCTAAGTCCCCCTCCTTGTGTACACATGTGACTTCTTATATCAAAGGAAGGAGCTTATGTTTTCTCCCCTCAAGTCTAGGCTGATTCTGTGGCCACTTTG